TAAGGACAGAAAGGTCGGCAGGCGGGGCGGTCATGAAGGCTGCACTGTTATGCAGACATAAGCATGCCATGTGACATGTCTGCATAGAGTGAGGCGCCCTGGTGGTGCAGCGGGTTCATGACTGGGCTGCGAGCCCACCAGCTGAGGGCAGGGAGAAAGATGGTAAGTGTGTCCCCTCGGGCACAGCGCTACTCTGCTCTACAGGGTCACTGCGATGGGACTGGCTCCCAAGCCGGGGGGCTGGAAGGGGGGTAATAAGTATATCTCTTGTGTTCGTCAAGGGTAATATTATTAGGGAGCCGAGTGGGACAGTTAATATAATCAGGGAGTCAAGTTGAGAGACAGCTGAGACTGTCTGCACCCATGAAGACGTACACCCTCGGAAACCTACAGGGGCAGCTCTGTTCCACCCGCCAGGTCACCCTGAGTCAGGACCGACGTGGTGGCGGTGAGTTTCATCATCTTCGTTAGACATACGTGACTTAGCACATGACACGACACAGAAACCAAGAGCTGGCTTCCTCTGGTGATGTCCCTCTCCCAGGCTAGGCTGCAGTTTCGAGAACAGTTCCCTCCTTGCCCTTCAAGGGGTCAGAGCAGCCCCTGCCCTGTCGTGAACCTCTCCTCAGGTGACCCAGTCTTGTGTGTCCTCTGCTTCCGACTGGACACAGCACACGGGGGCGGCACTGGCCAGAGAGGACCGGGAGTCCCTGGGGGGATGTCAGGCCCAAGCGTGCAGGGCACCTTGGCTCCAATCTGAGACCTTCAGAAGACATTCACACTGGTCCTCAGACACACCTCGGGTTTTAACTGCCACCCTTCTGGCCCGGAGCCGAGTGCTTAACTGCCTTTGTCACCAGACCCTCTGCTTTTGCTGCTGCTGTGTGCCTCGGGCCGGTCCCCACTCATGGGGGACCCTGTGGGACGGAGTCAGCCTGTCCTAGAGGGGTTTCGTGGCTGCAGTATTTTCAGAACCGCCTGCCTTTGGCTGGCAGCCAGTGCTTGACCACTGAGCTGCCAGGGCTGCTTCGTGCTGCCCTACCAGATCACTAGCGAGAGATTAAAGAGACACGGGGAGGCGCGCGGCTTACTTGTTCGTTGACGTCATCCATCCAGAGCCGTAAGGTTTTCCGGATGGTGGGGTAGTTGTTGCGGCCGCCCGTCTGTGCCCGCAGCAGCCCCGCCTTCTCCAGGCTGTGCAAGGTCAAGATGTGCTCGTAGCCATAGGTCTGCAAGGCAAGGGGGGAGGGCTAGAGGCTGGTTCTGGAAGAAAGGCTTCTACTACTTTCTGAAAAGACAGACTTCCAGCAGATCCACCTGGTTTGTTCCTCGGGGCCCAGGGCCCTGGTCCAGGCACTGCCTGTGCAGCGCCCAGTGGACGGGGCGGCAAGTGAGACTGGGCTGTGACAGTTAACCTTGCACATGACTTGGAGAGCGACTGTAAAAGTCAAACCATTACATAGTCATCGATGGGGTGTAAGTAGTTAGGAAACAAATAACTAGGCCAATCTATGCATCCTGATAGGGGCAAAGGAAAGGTAATTACAGATGTTATGGAGAGTCAAATTCCATTTGTCACAAAACTTAAGACATGGTGCATCATCATTGCAGCAGCCAGCACTTCTACAGACAGGTGACCACGGGACAGCGAGGCCTGGGCGCCAGACCACTGCAGGAAAGCCTCTGAAGTACAGAGTCAGAATGGCCACAGCGGACGCCACATGCACACGTGGCTGAAGAAAGTGTGAGAATGCAGTGTCTGTGACGCACAATAAGCAGGGTCTGCCCGCCGTCCCTCCTGGGGGCTGGATGCGGTTGGGAGCATTTCACACGCACTACCTCGGCCCTTGTTACTAGGGGCCACCAGTGTCCACATGTCACAGAGATGTCTAGACAGAGTGCCCAAGGCCACACACACGTCCCTGACAAGAAGTGTAGCTGGGACTTGGGAGCCACACGGTAGGTCCAGCCTGGGTGTCCATCGGCAGTGGCGGTAAGCACCGGGCGGGGCAGCTCAGGAATGGGGAGAGAGC